TGGCTGCTCTGAATGTAACATATCAAACTTTATGCATACAGTATCCTGACATTGATGCTCCCTTTGTACTTAAGACTGGACTAATACACTTGTTGCCAAGATTTCATGGCCTTGCAGGTGAGGATCGACACAAACACCTCAAGAAGTTCCATATTGTTTGTTCAATCATGAGGCCACAAGGTGTGCCTGAGGAGCATGTCAAATTAAAAGCTTTCCCATTCTCTCTGATGGATGTAGCCAAGGATTGGATCTACTATCTTCCTGTAGGATCTATCACTAGTTGGGATAACTTGAAGGGAGTTTTCCTGGAAAAAGTTTTCCCAACATCAAGAGCTACGTCCATAAGAAAGGAAATCTGTGGAATAAGGCAGCTTGAAAGAGAAACCCTTTATGAATATTGGGAAAGATTCAAGAGGTTGTGTGCTAGCTGCCCCCATCACCAAATTAGTGATCAATTGTTGATACAATACTTTTATGAGGGACTTCACCTTATGGACCGTAGCATGATAGACGCCGCAAGTGGAGGGGCGTTGGTTGACAAAACTCTGGTTGCAACCCGCAACTTGATTGAGAACATGGCTGCCAACTCCCAACAATTTGCAACAAGGCAAAATTCTTGTGTTACCAGAAATGTGAGTGAAGTACAAGTTGTTGAAACTAGTAAGCTGGAGCACGAGCTTGATGAATTAGCATCAATGATGAAGCAACTGGCTTCCACGCAAAAGAGTGCTGCTGCATCTTCACCTCCTCCACCATCCATTCCAGCCATGTTGTGTGGAATTTGCTCAACTACAAACCATTACACTGACAGCTGCCCCACAATACAAGAGTCTGACACTCTAGAAGATAATCCTCAGGCTTATGCCGCAAACATTTACACTAATAGATTTTCTTTTCCAAATTCACAGCAACAGCCCAATTGGGATCTATCTTCTAATAGATACAACCCAGGCTAAAGGAACCATCCAAATTTGAGATGGGGGAGCAATTCTCAACAGCACAACCATCAGCAAGGCACTCAATATCAAGCACATCATGCTGGCCCAAATAGATCCCATCCATCCCAACACCTACCACAACAAGCCTAGCACCATCACCAATAATCTTCCTCACAACCAAGTGCATCCCAAAAAAATGAACTATCACTGGACGAGCTCATGAAGCAATTGACCATGAACAACATCACTTTCCAGCAAAGAACCGAGGCTACTATCAAGACTTTGGAGAACCAAATGGAACAGTTGGCCTCGTCTCTGAACCAGATGAAATCTCAAGGGGCAGGGAACCTCCCTACGCCAATTGTTGTGAATCCCAAAAATGTCAGTGCAATCATTCTGAGATCCGCAAAAGTGATTCAAAAGCCCATAATACCCAAGGAGAAGGAAGACCCAAGCTGTACTCTAGCTACAGTTGGTCAAAATGGAGAGGAAATGACCCAAGAACAAACCAAACCTACACCTACCCAACCAAAGGTGGCAGAAAATGTTGAAAGGCCAATTCCTCTACCATTCCCTCAGAGAGTTATCTAGCCAAGCAAAAAGATTGAAGAGGCTGAGAAAGAGATTTTAGAGACCTTCAGGAAGGTAGAGGTGAACATACATTTTCCAGCTCTGATGAAGATGCTATGTAGTCTTAGTTTCTTTTTCACTGCACTCACTTTTCTCTTACTTTCTGCTATTTCCCTGTATTTACTACTAACCACCAATTCCTTGTAAATATCCCACATTTATGTTTCCACCTTTACTGCTTTATTTTCGTATTGTCTCTCTTAATCTGAACATCTTCAACATTCTCGCTTATATATATCTATTCCATTTTCTGGTTTAATGTTTGCTCCCTATACTAAATTTTCTGTATATTTGTGCAGAAAATGCCCTCAGTCCCATCAAGAGAAGCATGAATTTGACCCCTGAGTTGTGAATCTACTTTCTATGAAAGGGGGTGATCTCTTTGCTCCTGTTTCATATTCTCTTAGTCTATATTCCTTGCACAGTGTTAAATGAAAATACAAAATATTTTCCTTATCTCTCTTTTAATGTAGTCCAGTTTTGTAATTCCATAGTTACGTTCTGATTGCACTTTCCATTCAACTCATGATCATTCTCTATTTTTTGAATATTTTCGTTCCTACCATGCTGAACATATTTTCTTGAAAGGTGAACTGTAATCACATATTGTTAAGTAATTATCACCTGTTACCATGGTAGAGAATTGAGCCTTTAAATTCTTTTCTATTTGCCATTTACATGTATTATTGTATCTATCCTCTAGAACTTACCCTGTTTCTTAATTGAATATGCATTGTGCAATTTTTCATCTACATGATTGAGGCCTTCTTTGCACACACCCACCCACCCTTCAACACCTTTGCACCTAATTTCCCTTGTTCCATATTCCTTCTTTTGCCAAACTTAGTCTGCAAAAATATTTCCCTTACCTTAATAGAGGTATTTATTTTGAGTTACATCAAGAGTGAATGCAATAAACTAAGTTTGGGGTGCTAATTATGATTGTAGTTGCTTAAGGACAAGCAAGCTCTTAAGTTTAGGGTGGTGAGCATTTTACATGTCAATATTACATGTCCAAAAAAAAATTGCTTGAATTTGAAGAAGAAAATGATTGTCAATGTTCATAAAAAATGATGATGATGATGATGAATGAATGAAAAAGAAAAAGAAAAAGAAAAAGAAGAATACAACAAGTCATTTTGATAGAAAAAGAATTCTCTACATAAGGCAAAGTAAATGAAAAATATGGTGAAAAAGTGCTTGAATATCACTTGCTGCATCATTTTATGTATTCCACTCTTAGTTGTTATACTCACTCACTCAAAGGAATTCCCTCATCTTAAAAATCCACTAGAGCTTTTGACCCTCCTTGATCTAAATTTGACCTAACTTAATACATTTGTGACCAACAAAGTCCTCTTGATAGGTGGTTCATTGTATCTAAGCAAACGAGATTGAGAATATGGGCAAGCATATGGTAGGGTGAGGCAAAATGCATGAATTGAGAGAAAACACTTAGCCTGAAATATTGTTGAGTGAAGAGTGAAACACCATCTTGTGAGCTAGATAATTTCTTTGCATTGTGTGGATTACATGAAACCTTGCTAGATTTTTGTTTCAGTTTAGTGAGACTTTGCTTGAAAATAATTGATTTGGGCATGATTTCTTTGTTGAATGGATCCATGATTGTGGAAACATTGTAAGTGTCAATTAGAGTTTGATTTTGGAATAAAAATTTTGAAAGAAAATTTCTTGGATAAATCCAACCCTTTTACAAGTGACTTTATTGAATTTTGATTTGCTTGAAGACAAGCAAAAGTTTAAGTTTAGGGTTGTGATGAATCCACATTTTATTAGTTTTTTACTTGTCATTTTAATGTTTCTTAATAGAAAAAGTAAACTTAGAATTGTAAATAACATAAAAACATCATTTTGGTCAATTTATCATAGGTTTCTTAATTTTTGGTTAAATTACATTTATTTACATAGATATAATTTGCAATTTTGATCATATGAATAATTGTGCAGGAGTTTCTAGACTTATTCCATGGATTTTTAGCAATTGAGAAAGTTTGTGATGAAAATGATCGCTTTGGAGTCCATAGTGAACACTACAGCAAGCTAGATCCAGAAGGGCAGACCAAAGTGATCACTATGAACCCATAGTGACAACTCCAGAGAGGCCAAAAAGTACAAGACTTGCGCGTAGCTACTATGGAACCATATAGACACTCTGGAGCAGCCAAAGTTATCACTCTGATGACAAAGTGACAACTCCAGAGAGGCAAAAAATACAGGACCTGCACATAAACACTATGGAGCGAGAGTAACTACTCTAGAGCGTTGCGCGTTATCACTATGAAGCCAAAGTGACAACTCCAAAGAGACCCAAATCACTGGTCTTGCGCGTAAACACTATAGAGCGTTGCGCGTCATCACTATGAAACCATAGTAGTTACTTTGGGCAAAAAATTTTGTACTATAAATAGGATTTGAGAAATTAAGGTACGGAGCTTTTGACATAACTTTAGATTCTTTTGCCACTTTGGGAGCATTTTGCATAGCTTAGGATCCTTGGGCGACAGCCAAGGCCAATCTTAGGGTTTGATATACAATTTCTCTTCATTTTTCTTTAATTCTTGCATTATAATGTTGATTTCCCTTTGTTTCCATCTTGAATTTGTAAGACCCATCCCTGTGGAGGGCTAAAATTTCTTGTAATCGTTAGTGAGTTCATGTATTCTTGAATTCCTAGGTATGAATGTCAATATAATTCCCTTTTCTTCATGAATTTACATTTCCCAACTCTTTGAATTGAATTAATGGTTAAATGAGGGGGATATTGCTTAATTAACCCTAATTTGTTTTAATGAAATTCTTAACTTAGTTTGCTTAATCCTAAGTTAATTTCTAAGGTTGAGTAATCTTGGGGATGAGAGATTGGAGCCCATGTAAATTGCTTAATTTGTATGGGATATTAAGGTTAATTCTTGCTTTTTGAGTTACCCTAATTCAAAGGAAGAGGAAAAGTATTGAATCTTGAGAGGGATAGGGATAGAATTACATGAACAAACTAAGGATTGCATATTTCATTGATTGGATTCATTAATTTCATCACTTGTCTTTACATTAAAATTGGAATTACACAAAACCCCCTTGTCTTAATTGCTTTTATAGTAAATGTTCACAACATGTTCAATGTATGTTACAAACCAAAGTCGTTGGAAACAACCTAAGCTTACACCCTAGATACTACAAACTTTTTCTGCATATTTTGATGAAGGTTGATGATAAATATTTTTGCAAAACGAAATGAAAATATATCGTTCATTTGAGGCTGAGGACTAGTGGAGGTTTGCCGGTTAGTCCCTGCCACAGGAAGAGGGCTATATCCAGCGGGAAGCATTCAAGACCATCTTCCTAGGGAACTACTTTCCCTGTGACCTAAGGAAGCAGAAAGCTAGGAAGTTCCTTGAGCTGAAGCAAGGAAGTATGACTGTGGGAGAGTATGCAGCCAAGTTCCAGGAGTTGATGAAGTACTGGCCTTATTATCAGCATGGTGATGGAGAGGAGGATCTGTGTTTCGGGCTGCAGTCAGTGTGTTCCAACTGACAGACTTGCCCATCTTGGTGAGCAAGAGCAGAATTTTTGAAGCTAACTCAAAAGGGAAGACGGTGGACACTAGGGGAGCTAGTCCAGTGAGACATGATAGAAGACCCCCAAGGTTCTCAAAGGGGCCGTATTCAGGCTCGAATAGTTCTCAACCTGAGGGAGTTCCTCTCAAGAGAGGAGTAGCGAGAGTGGCTCAGGAATGGGTTCTTTCAGAGGACCGCTTAAGTGCTTCAGGTGTGGAGGGCCACACATGGTGAAGGACTGCCCACAGCCGAGGATAACTTGTAGCAACTGTGGGAAGTCGGGGCACGTTGCCAATGAGTGTTAGGCTGCCAAGAGGGGAGACAGTGCAAGTACAGCTCAGAGGTTGGAATTGAGAGGAAGTACGGGGCCAAGTACGGGGCAGAAGCCGAGTATTCCTGGTAGAGTCTTTGCTATGAGTGGAGCGGAGGCTTCACAGTCAGAAGAGATGATCCGAGGTAAATGCATTATTAAGGGTCGTTTGCTTGATGTGCTGTTTGATTCGGGTGTTATGCACTCTTTTATATCTGTGGACTGTATGAAGAGTCTGAATTTATATGTGACAGAATTATCATGTAATGTTGTGGTGACTACCCCTATAGGTAAGCCGGTTGTGACATCATGGGTGTGTTTGGGGTGTGCAATGAAAGTGAAAAGAAATCAATAACATCAATGTAAAAATCAAAGAGAAGTAAGGAGAAAATGCAAATCAAACCCTAGGTTAGACCTTTGGCTGTCACCCAAAGTTGACCTAAGCTCTACAAAGTGTTCCTAAAATAAAAAAAAATCTAAAAGTGTCAAAAGATCCTAACCCTAATTTTCAAAAATGAAGTGGGCGTCATCCATAGTGATAGTAGCTACGCGCAGCTCCCAGGTTTGTCATTCCTTCTGTAGTGGCTACTTTGCAAGTGATAGTGGCTACGCGCACTATGGTAACTGAAAGTGACTACGCGTAGCTCTACGTCAATTTGGCTCTTGCTATAGTTGTCACTATCACTTCTGATAGTGGGTACACGCATGTCTGTTGTATTTTGAGCTCTCTGTAACATCCACTATCACTTCTGAAAGTGTTCACTTTGGTCTGTCCTCTAGACCTGACTTGTTGTAGTGGTCACTATCACTTCTAAAAGTGATCACTTTCACCTCAAATTTTCTCGAAGGCCAAAAATCCTTAGAATAAGTCTGGAAATTCCTGCACAATTATTCAAATGATCAAAATTGTAACTTTTATCTATGTAAATCAATGTAAATTAACCAAAAGTTAATAAACTTATGATATTTAAGCAAAATGAGATTTCTATGTTATTTACACTTCTTAAGTCCATTTTTTTTATTAAGGAACACTAAAAAAACAAGTAAAAATCCAATAAAATGCGGATTCATCAATATTCTTGGGGATGTTATCCTCACTAGGTTTCTTAGATGATTTACTGTTGTATTTTTTCTTATAAGGTTTCTTTTTGGTTTCTACCTCCTTCTTGGGGTATTTTTTCTTTTTCTTGGTTGGACAAGCAGGTAGCCCAAATTGATCACAAAAAAGATGCTAAATCTCTTCTATTTTGGGCTTTTCCTTTGGCTAACTGCCTTTGTATCTTGTCATCTTGATAGATTTTTAAGGCAACTTTCTGGACATAAGAAATTAACTTACCATAACTAAGGCTATCATAAGGAATTTCTCCATTGACAGACTGGCTACAAATTTTATCTCTAACCTTATCTCCTAAAGATCCTAGAAGACCAGCTAAGATTTTTTCTTTCCTCCAGAAAGATTTTTTACTATCTTCCCTAATGTAAAATCTAGACAAAAAGGTGTCTATACCACCTAAAGTTCTACACTTAAGGTTTGACAATAATTCTGTAGATCTATCTCTCCATAAAGATGGATCTCCTATGAAATGTTGGGCGATTGTAAAAATAAGAGTATTAACAGCATCAGGGATCTGATCATCGTCATCAGTAATGACTTTCCCATTAATATCTATTTTAATAGCAAAGAAGATTTTGGTCTTTTTTTTTTAGTGAGATAGTTTTCCTACCAACCTTTTAATTGACCAGAAAATCCTGCGACAAGGATATTGACTATGGTTTCTTCTAGACATTCATGGGATGTTTGGTAAGCAATGGCTACCATAGACATGTGTTGTAGAGTATTCATAACGTTATACTCTGTCTGACCATGCATATTCCATTCATAGATGTTATTGGCACTAAAACTTTTAAAACTATGCTCATTGTGTTCTTCTATAAGAAGATCTGGAGCAATAGCCGTATTATAATAAAGTTTGCAAGGAGACCTCCAGTTTTTACTCGTTGTAATAACTGGATTTACTTCTAGATTGGAGACAGAACCTTCCTCAGATACTTAATCTGAATCTTGGTTATTGACGACAATATTTTTGGAAGACCTAGTTCTTAGTTTGCTACACTCTTCGAAAGTTTGAGTATCAGGAACAATTTTAAGTAAACTATTAATTTTACTCAATAGTTCATTGTCTTCTCCTAATTCTTTAAGCGGCTTGGATCTATTATTCTGCCTAAGCTCTAAGATCTTTTGTTTGGCTTTGGCACTAATCTTGAATGGTTTGAAAAGAGGTTTTTCTAGTTGAATTTAAGGAGAAGAAAATGCTTCTTCTTCCTTTTGTCTAATAGGAACAGCCAGAATCTTGTTTTTACTAATCTTGTCCCCTAAAACTTGAAGATATTTGTTGGTATAATTGGCTTGTTCCATGAGGCCTTGGATATCACTAGGGGAAATAGATTCTTTTGGATTTTTGGTTTTGAATGGCATAGTCATTACTAGATTACCACCATTATCTTTTTATTTAGGTAATTGGTACTAAGTTGATGGAGGCAGTTCACTTTGGACTATTTGTCCATCTTTGATCTGCTAGGAGATGACATTTGCAGTAGGATTGCTAATAATATCTACCTGCCAAGGATAATCTATATTATTTTTAATGGCATACGCATGAAACCAATCAAAGAAAGGAATATTTTGTTTGACCTTCTCGAGAAATTTGTAAAATTTCTCTTGGATATCTTTCCTATTGCTGTAACACCCTCTTTTCATTATTCAGTAAATTATGTTTTGTTTAATATTAAGTAATATTAGAATGCATTTAAAAGTGAGTATGGAAGATTTTTAGAGGAATTCTGGTGCAAGGAGTCTTGCTTAGGCGAGGCAAATCTCACTCAAGCGAGACTGAGCGCCCTGAAATATGATGTTGCAGGGATATCTCGCTCAAGCAAGATAGGATAAATTCAGCCCAACTATCACCTTGCCCAGGCGAGAGTGATCTCGCTCAAGCGAGATGAGATTTCGCTCAGGTGAGATGGGTCACTTAGGCGAGGACTCACAGGGGAAACATTCTGCTCTCTGGATGCCATCTCGCTTAGGCGAGATAGAGCTCAAGTGAGCACATTAGGAAATAGTAGACAAGACCACTGTCTGCGTATCTCACTCAAGCAAGATGTTCCTCGCTCAAGCGAGAGCGCACGGGGCTGAGGGGTATTTACGAGATTTTCAGCATGAAAATTTCATTTTCATTTCAAACTCACGTTCCCTTCTCATTTTCTTTGAACTCTCTCTTCCTTTTCTCCAGAGAAAAGCCTAAAAAATTTTGATTACTCTTCAAATCTGAGCTTGGACGTTGAATCTAAATGACTCCAAGTAAGTTTCTTCAGATTAAATTTCACTTTCTTTGATCATTTTTCATATTTTTCATTTCTTATGGATATCTCTTGGTATTTAGGAGAACTTCCATCTTTGAACTCTAACCTTCTTCAATATCTCTCCGTAAACTCGTCTTTAGGGGTAAGGAATGCTCTATTTTATTGCTCTATTTTAGTATTTATTTTGTGCACATTAGAGAACTGTATTATGGACATTTCATGAAAATGTGGTTGAAATATCTATGGTGTGAATAATGAATGGAAATATGCTTGTTTGATTGCATGAACTGATTGGTTATTTGGATTGAATGGTTGTTACATTTTATATGCAATATACGATGAGCAATCAATGTGAAATATTATCAAACTTGCTGAGTGATTATGATGTGATTTTATGTAATATGTTTGGATGAAATGATATTTGATCTGAAGGATTTAATAGTAGTAATTACATTAATAAGGGTATGAGTGAAATGGATTGGAATGGATTTAGTCTAGAAGTGCTTTACTTAGCACGATTTTATGAATGCGGAAAAGGATAACTTTGAGAATGACTTTAAGTATCGAATATGGATTGGATCTAGTGTGAATAGTTACAAAGATACACTGGGGTATAGAGTCTGGAGACGATGGAAATCTTAGGGAAACGTAGAGTTGTGAACAACATTCGTGTATGTATACACACTCTTTCTCAAAGTAAATGCGTCACATAGCCTCACACTCGTTTCCTGACTAGACTCCTAACTATGCCTTTGCTAAGGGGCCCCGATTATTATGTAGGTTGTATCTGTGAGCACGGGTTAACCGGCGACGATTTACCTAGTTGAATAGACCTCAAGAAATACTTGAGGCATCGATATATGTGATCACAGTATACTGGAAGTGCGTATCAGAATAAGGAAATAGATAATGTAAAATAAATTGTTGAGTTGGGTATAAATATGAATATGTTTGCAATATGAATAAGTGTAAAATTGAATATATTGTATTTATGTTATAAATTATGATTCTATGATAAATGTTTTGTAAATAATAGAATAGACGCTTATCCTTACTAATATTTTCAGGAAAACAAGATGACGAAGCCTCAGGAAAGAATTAGACTAATAGATAGTTCAGTACATAATAGGCTTAATTATGTATTTAATGAATATCAAAGAGTATGTTATTTTAAATTTGTTGTTCTTGTGGAAGATGAACCTAGGACTTTTGTTATGTTAGAGATTGATTTCTTTTATAGTATCCTTTTTTATTTTCCTAGCAGTAGAATACATCAGACCTTATGTATTTATATGTATAGTGGTAATATTAGAACTCCGGCAGCCCTCACCTATCTATTTACTTATCACGACCATGATAATCTTGGAAGACTGGCTAGATGGACCTTTGAGCTAGTGACTAGTACAAAGGTCACAACTAATACAGGTGATCGTTACCTTGGATCAGACGATGACCTTGATTTTGAAGATTTGGCTGAGATAGAGAGCTGGTATGAGGTTGATGAATAGAACCGGTCTTCAGTGTTGGGTTATGTTTGAGACTGCTTTAGGACTTAAAATTTGTTTATATGATGTAATTATTTTGGTTTTGTAAATATTATTTTAAGTTCCAGCTATTCTGACAAATAGTTTATAAATTATTATACTTGAGATATGATATGCATCTTCAGCTTCTCAAATTAGAAATTTGATTATGATTTATTAGTCTTTAAAAGTATTGTTGTTCCTTTATTATTGCACGTATAGGGAAATTTTGTTTACAATTGATGAATCCATATTTTTACTGATATTTTAGCATAATTCTAACACAATTGATAAGAAAAATATATGAAGAAAGCAGAAAAACTCAGAAAAAAAAGAGAAGGAATTGAAGTTTGTTTACATATGTAGTTATTTTAGCAATTGTAGAAATTTTGCTTAGAAATTAAGTTTTTAATCTTGTTTTTGAAGGAATAAATTGAGCAAGGATCATGGAAATGCAGGCTTGATGACAAGGAAGAAGAAAGAAGAAAGTCTGGACTCCAAAAACACAAGACCAAGAAAGTGCAGACTGGGCGTGATCACTATTGTCAGTAAAAGTGATCACTCCAGAGTTCAAAGAAGAAGAAAGCTTGGGCGTTATCACTTCTGCTAGGAAAAGTGAGAGATCCTATGAAGTCTCAGACTCAACATGCTGGGCGTTATCACTTTTATCAGTAAAAGTGAGCGTTCTAGAGAGGACAATATCAGGAAAAGCTCTACGTAACCACTATTATCAGCGAAAGTGAACTTTCTAGAGAGCCTTTATCTTGGCGAGTTGCGCGTAATCACTTTTTCTCATAAGAGTGATCACGCGCAACCACTTGAGCTCTGCGTTGTCACTTTTATCAGCAAGAGTGATAGTTCCAGAGAGCAGTCAATATCAGGAAAGTTGCGCGTGACCACTTTTTCTCATAAAAGTGTTAACGCGCAACAAAAAACCTTCTGCGTAACTACTATTTTTTGTAAAAGTGATGACGCGCAAATCTGGGAAATTATATAAATACCAGAAACGTTCCAGAATTGGGGGATTTTGTTCATTTTCAGTTTTGTTAGTTAGGTTCTCGTTAGAGGAAGTGAGAGAGAGGAGTGGAGATTCGAATCTTGGAGCTTCACGAAGAAGAATTGGAGTGGAGCAAGCTTCCATGGTGTTTCTGAGTTTCTTCTTCTCTTCTTCTCTTTCTTTTTCTTTCTCTGCTTTCATGGCTGTGTAATTTCTTCATAGTTAGGGATTGTAGACCTGAAATGAACATGTTGAATTGATTTGGATCTGAATTTCAAGCTTTGGAATAGATTGAGTGATTGATTATGCACTTCACGTGGAAATTGAATGGAAATTTGATTAACCAAATTCAGAGGAACTCTTGTCAATGGAAATTGAATTTGTTCTTCAGATCTGAACCAATCATCGAGATTATAGTTTTCTTAGGGATAAGAGGCTTTGATCTTGCAATCTTTTGGTTTCTTACACTTAAAGCAATATGACATTGAATCAGATCTAAGGAATTAGAATGGTTTAATTGAATGTTAGGTTCACTGAGTTAAGGAATTAACCTCTGAACAATATAACATGAAACTGATTGTCATTCTTTCCAATTGCTTGTTAATTCAGAACTTTATTGATTAAACATTGGAGTTTTGGTGAAGCAATTCCCTAACTATGGTTTCTCCCTCTGTTATTGTTATGTTTCTGCAAGTTGCTTTTACTTTCAATTGTTTTGGTTTGCTATTATTACATGTTACTACTCTCCTTTCAATTTTGGAAAGATCAAATGGTTATAATTCTATGAAGTGGTACTTGAAATCTAAATTCCCTGTGGAGACGATATTTAGATCTTAATTTTACTCATTACTTGCTGCAATCCTAGTGCACTTGCTAGTGTTAGATTGCGAACAACAACAACAAATCCACTTATAAAGTGACTTTTATTAACTTGTTAGAATAAGATTAATTAATCCTGGTTTATGACATTTATTATTTTTATTATTATTGTTGTACCACTAATATAAAAAAATATAAAATGGAAATTTTGTATAAACAAATATATCTTAAAGAAAATTTCATTGATTTGCTATAATAATGTCAATTATACACAAAATTCATATTTATCTCAAATTATTAATATTAAGTGTACGGATTTAAAATTTTAGGGTGTTACAATTGCTACCCTTGTAATTTTAGAAAAATCACTCTCTTTGAGGCTTCCACTCCTTAGAATAGAAATCATTCCTAAGGGTTTCCTTATCCATAACAAACTTATGAGATAATATCATAAGACTCATTAAGGGAGGAAAATGTTAAAGATTGGATACTTGGGTTTTCTTCTTCCTTATCGGTTTGATAAGTTGTTCTACGAATACTAGAGGAGGTGTCTAAACCTTGTAGGTTTATGTGAGAAGGAACATGAGATACTGATCTTAGTATCTCTGATCTAAAGATTTAAGATCTGGAACAGAAGGATCTCCTTGCAGAAACATAGTCAGATTGTTTATTAAAAACTTCTATCCTGGAGGAGAAGGAGTTTCTCCTATTGAAAGTTATTTCAACTTTCCCAAAATTGTCTTGGGTAATATCTTGAATTTGAGGAGTAGGTTGAGGTATAAAAGGCATAGCCTTATCCATAACCCACTTCTCTAGGAGAGTTACTTTATCCCACTTGGTTGTCTTAGGAAGGGATAAATCAGCCCTAGTCATATTTGTGATAAACAAGGTAGTTTCGCCTTTCTGGGGTTTGGGAAGGACTCTATATGCACAAGAGTTCATGACCTTATATTAAATCCTATAGATTAAGGCTGCGGAAATTGATCCCTCTTTCATGTCTAAGTCATGAAAGTGAATATTGAGGAATAAAGAGTCTAGAGTATTTTTGTCCATAATACTTACTGTTTTGTTTGGGTAACATTTGAAGTAAATAGGACCTTGTCCAAGACTAGTTTGTACTGTACCTATTAAGAAATCTTCAAACCTATTGTGTCTAATATCTCTAAGACATATTAAGACAGCAACATCTATACCTATGTCTATCAAAGGTTTAATGGCTACTTGAACACATCCTATATGTAGATATTTGTATTTTCTCATATGCTCACTCATCGAATGTTTCGATAAGAGATGAAATTCTTTTCCTATGCACAGTCTTGATAATGTAATTAGAACTGTTTCTTTTGACTTGATCATTAGGAACATATAATGTATCCTAGGATGTTTTTGGAATGGTCCAGTCATCCATACTTTGGTTAATCTCTTCAAAACGAACTTCTTCGTCAAAGAGATTATGTTAAGGTGTGATTTTAAAAAGATTAGGGTTCTCTGGTATCAGAGCCTGATGAGAAAGTAGGAATAGATCTATAGATTATTTATGACTGGTTCTCTAGATCTGGACCTAAATTTCATGTACAGTATTTCAATTTGGTAAGTTTACTTTTCATGAAAGATCTTTACTAGAAGTATAACAATTTTTAATTTCTTTTGAATGAAGTTGCGGTAGTAAATCTCATAGATGTAAGGCAATAAGACTAATTCAACGATACTCTATTCAAAAGAAAAGAAAGAACACACACATATATATATATTCTTATAAATGTAAGATAAGTATATTTACAAAAATAAAAATTAAGATTATGATAAAGTTAAATAACAATTTTAATATCTAATACTTCGACCAAAAGTTACAAAAAGTAGATAAAAAGTAAATTGAAGTTCACACATTCATTTTAAGTCATTTTTAATTCTAAAAAAAAAATGCGTGTAATTAATTACGAAAGATACGAAAGATAGTAAGTTTATTTAATAATTTACTTTTTTAAATAGAATGCTATTTTTTTACTTCAAGGTTGATTTATTAGTAAAAAATTATTTTAATATGCAAACTCATTTTATATACATGTGAGAATTTTTTGTGTTGGGATAATTAACAATTAAGGTTTTTATTGATTATATAAATTAAAAGTGTTATTTAAAAAGATTAAAAAAAAAAAGAGAGAGAGAGAAAATTTTAATAATAAAAAATTTCTTTATTTCTCTTTTTAAATATAATTTTACGTTTTTAAAAATAAAATATAAAAGCTAGTTTGTTAATTTAAGTTTTTAAAAATTATTTAAAAATATTTTTTTAATTTGTTAATTTAAAAATAATAAAAACTAGTTTGTTAATTTTTTTTTAAAAATGTTTTGATTTTGATTTTTTTCATTTCTCTTTTTAAAATAGTTTAAAATATTTTAAAGTATCAATGTTATTCACTTATTTTCTTTGAGATATTACTTATTTATATAATTTATATTTATTTATTAAAAATTACTTTAATTTTAAATTAATTATTATTTTTAGTTTAATTTTAGTTTATAGTTTATAATTTTCATAATTTATTAAACTCTATGTAAATTACAACTATTACTTTATAAATAAGAATATTTTTTCAGTTTAATATTAATTAGATTTTAATATTTTAATAATTTTTTAATTTAATATTTATTTTAAATATAAAAATATATTCAAGAAAATAAAAAATACTAAAATGAAATATCAAATATATATGTATAATTAATATTTTAAATAAAAACAAATAAATAAAACCAAACAAGCTTTTTTAATTTTATTTTCAAAAATAAATTTATCAAACAAGTTTTTGTTTTCATTTTCTCATCTTAAAACATTTTTAAAAACTAAACTAACAAACAAGTTTTATATTCATTTTCTTGTTAAAAATAATTTTTTAAAATAATTTTTATAATTTAAAATTTATTTATAAAAATATTAATTATTAATTTCAATTATTGAAAAATAACTATTACCAATATTTTTAGTATAATAAATTAAAAATATTAATTTTATTAACTATACATTATTAAATTCTAACTTGGGCAACTTTTCGCCGATAAAATATGACATTAAAAGTTCAAAGCTGTTAAAATAAAGAAATTCCGATAGATAAATTTAATGATAAAAAAATAAAATAAAATTTGTTCAACATAACATTAATATTTATTTAAT